TTACATAACTTCTTCTAATTGAATTTCTTTATCTAATAATTTGCATTTCTGCGGATTTGACCAGATTTTGTTTCATTTATATAATAAATTTGAAAAATTCAAAAATTAACTGTCTACAAACCTGTAAATAGATTTATCTTTGAGCGATCGGGGAATGCTTGCAAATAGGATCATTTTCATCTAATAAAGTACAAAAACTTTAAAAAAAATCTCATCGTTTTTTTTCATAATTCAAAATGGTTTGAGAAATATTACAAATAACTATAAACTTAATTAGAATAATTAATACGAGTATAAATGCATTGGTTTGGAAAGTCTCATTTTTATAGAATTATTATGTACTTGTTAGTTACATAAACATTATACAATTCAAATGTTTTGTTTATATATACCCACAACTATTTATATCTAATTGCATCTGCACATATTTGCATGCAATTAATTAAATTTGTTTCTAAATTGATTACATAACTTCTTCTAATTGAATTTCTTTATCTAATAATTTGAATTTCTGCGGATTTGACCAGATTTTGTTTCATTTATATAACAAATTCGAAAAATTCAACTAATTCTTTAAAACCTAACAAAAGTAGTAATATACAAATCTCTTTAGTATATACAGCAATAACTCGAATAATGCAACAGTCCGGATTCATTATAGTCCAGTTTGTATATTTCAAAAGAAACTAAATTTTAATTGAACAAAAATTAAGTTGATCGCTTTTTTCCCTTTATATAGTGAATACTTTTTTGTGTATATTTATGGAAACTCAATTAATAAAATCATCCTACACTTATTATGCTCTAACTGAGTTTATACTGGACAAATGAGTAACTACAAACTAATGTCTATAATTATTACCATTTGTTCATGTTAACATATTTATACCTATGCATTTGCATATAATTGACTATCAGTTTGCAACTGTGCCTATCAATATTTGACTACATTTGTGCTTATGTTCTCACTAATCTAATATTGGCACAATCTGGACACTTTGTCCGTTTGTATATTTGCTAGTATTTGGTGCACATTTACACCACATTTGCCTATTTTTTGAGAATATGCATTTATATAAATCAACTTTTACAATTTATTTATTTTCCTACACTATTTCTATCAATCTTTAAATTATTTCATAAATCGATCTTTGGAAGTCTCTATTTGATCTAATCACGTCTTCTATGAAACAATTACATTATATCCATTACTACTTGATTTTGCTGTACGAACATATATTTACACCTATCTAAATATATATCTTCATTTTCTGTCTCTGCTTTTAGTTTCTTTCTGTGTACTTGCTTATATCTGTCTATATTTGATATATGGCTATGAATATCCATCTTTCAGACGTCTGCATCTCACTGTACACGTAACATAATATATCGCTCTGATTTTTTTCCCCATTTTAATTTCATATATGTTTCGCATCCACTCTTCTATACCCGTCCAAACGTATACATTTCAATCACATCCCACTTCTAATAAAAGTAATACAGGAGACGGTAAAAAGATTTCTCATCCACCCTAACGAGATCAAAATACATATATAAGATTGAGTGCATGATGATGAATGAGTTTGATGTAACAAAACCATTGCGCCATCAAAGAATAATGCTGTATCGATTTTGATGGATCGGTGTTACAAAAGTCTGTGAGAAATTGGTCAAAAAGTCTGCAAATGCAGCGCGACGACGGTTTAAGATCCAGTCAATAATCCCATCTTTCATTTCCCAAGTCGTCGGCGCAGCAGCCCCACTTATCTGGAAGATAAACAATCCGGGGATTCCCGTGTTTGCCAATAAAACGCTGTGGTCGCAGCATACAATCTCCAGGATCCGAGGATGAGGTCGAAGGAGAAGCAAAAGAAGGATGGGTCAATTTTTCATTTACTTTACCAAAAAAAAAACGCCTTAGGCAAGGAAAAGGATAGAGAGATAAAGAATAAGGGAGGTGTAGTGTGTTGTTACCCTTAAGACGCTTCGGGCTTCGGTCCAAATCCACCCTGCTCCAACGGAATTACATTTAATAACATTTTCCCCGCTGGACGCAAATAATTTACCCTCTGTTCCAAAACCCTTTCAAAACCCGCACACATGATTCATTCTTATTTCCGCTGTAATAAGTTAGCCGGACCTTTGGTGCAGATTAATCGTCAACCCGCCCCCTTCCACGAGATGAAACAGAATGTGAAATTAAAAGAAAAACAAGCAGGATTAATTAATATTCTCTCCCTCTGCTAATTGCTACAATGAATTCCCCAGCTAACACAAATAAGAAAAACAGTTTAATGATATCCACGAGTTAAACCATAATTCGATATGCATTCCGTTAATTAATTAATACAAGGTGAAACGCGAGCATTTGAAAGTCGACTACACCTACCATTTTTTTTTTACTTCTTCGCACATATAAATCTTAGTTTTTACTCTGCGAGGGGAATTCTCGTCCCGGAGATATTATGAGACCTTAATAACTTTCCACGTTCCTCTATAATCGCTTTTCTCACTTACTACTAATTACTTTATTACGCAACTTCTTGCAATTCCTTCTGGCGCTTTTTCTTTTCTTCATAAAATCACAAAAACATAACGACCTTTGCATTTCAATAATAATTGATTATGTTTTTGCCACCATATATCAAGACATAAACTAAACTTATCTAAACTTCAATACTAATGAATCAAAGCTAATTTCAATAGGTTTTTGAGGATTTAACCTTAGATGTCGTTTAATAAATTGATATTTTTTGATAGTTTAACATTATTTAACTAATTTGAACTAAGCTTTAAAACATTCCTTAATCCATAAAGATTCCAATACTTATTTCTAATCTGATCTTAGTGTGGTAATTAATCAAACATAATTCCAATTTGGTTGAACAGATCGAAATTTGCGTTATTATAAGACCATAATAACTTTTCACGTTTCGCCCCCCCAAACATAATTGCTTTTCTCAACCGAGTACTAATTACATCGTCACAAAAGTTCTTCCAATTATTTTTTTTTTTTCATACTTTCCACAATTCTAAAACAGAATCGAAACAGAATTTTTAAAATAATTGTTTCAATTGTAGTTCGATAAAAAAAATAACGTCAAATAAATGACAATTTACATGTCATTTATAATTTCTATTTATAACAATAGATGGCGTAGCAGAATTTCAACGTAAATCAATTTGTTCTTAATTCATATTTTAATTCATACATATGTTATAGAAATTAGTTTTAGTTTGATTTAATAGTTATTTTTTAGTTGCATTAGAAGAAGTTCTTTATTTTGATTATTTGTGCTGAAGAAGGAAGTTTTGGTTTCATTATTTTTTTGGACAGAAGAAGAAATCCGAAGAATAAGTGTTATTTTGTTTTTTTTTTGTGCTTTGAATAAACTTATTGGCGCGTAATGCGGAAGCCAAATGAAGAAGGGGGGTTCTTACAATTAATTAACAAAATTCTTTAAATTATACTAGGATTTAACAAATGACAATCTGCATGTCATTTGTACTTTTTCTTTATGATCAATAGATGGCGTATCAGATTTTCAACGAAATTTAACCTATGCACACGAACCAAATTGAACTGTTGCAATAACTTTCCGGTATTTACGACTTGTTGAACGCGTTCAAACCGTCTGCGGATTCGAAAGCTGCTGCGATTGTTAAAATATTGCGCTGCAATAAGCAGACGTATCGAACGGAGCAGGAGAACACGATTCCAATTAGACCGGCCCAGAGGATCGATTTCCGAAAGTAATTTGCGTTCAGTCGAGTTTGCAAATTAAATTTGTCGGATTAATAAAGCAAGAAAAGTTGGCACGCTTACGAATTTACGTCCAACAAAAAAAATACAACCTAAAACACATACATTTCACCCAATCTTAGCAATTACGAATATTAACTGCGATGGCTTTTGCCAAATAACAAAAATTAAGGTAACCGATTATGTACAGCGTTCCGTTACAACATTATTAATCGAGAGTATCGATTTTAATAACAAAGTTGGAAACCCGAATTCAGCTTGAATTAATAACGAAACTTCTACCCGTTTCGCATATTAAAATATCGCCAATTTTTTTTCGGCTAAATGAAATATTCCGTTGACCTGAATAATTTATATCTAAATACACACACAAAGTTCTTTTTTTTTTTGCATGATCGCTTCCACATAAAGTTAAACGAAATATTGCTCGAAATATTGCCTTAAGACGTTATTGACCACATGTTACACACAGTTGTTTATGTGTCTAGTCTCTGCGAAATACCCAAAGGGATTCTCTTGGCAAAGATGTTCCACAATGATACAAAAAAATACACATTACAGAAGCAATTCAACATTAATCGTGTTATCATCAAAGAAATACAGTAAATATTTATTTGTAATCTATAGATTTTGAGATTTTCCACAAATAAAACTTAATAAAACTAATAAATTTCCATCAGAAATACTGTTGATTATTGCATAAACATTTTGATTGTGCACAGTTATTTGCATTGAAATATCGAATCTGATTAAATACAGCATGTAATCTCAGACAGTAGACATGATTAATATAGAACGCGCTTCGAGATTAAGCCCATCTCGGTCTGAGTCTTCGGGGAATATTAAACGATTCCGGGCGTCGTGCATCCATAGAAGATCATATAAATATGTTCATCAAACACGGTGCAATATTAAGTTGAACATTCAATATTGAAAACCCGCGTTCACAGTCAATATTGCGAGAGGAAGCCGCACAGACCTCGTGCAAATTTAATCGCACACCCTTCCACATCCTAAGTCCAGATGTAATCTTACGAAATGTATTCAAATTCGAAGCGAACGCCATCCATTGTACCATTGTGCAAACCGACTAAATATTACACAATTAGCCTAATCTATTTACGAGAGCAGCAAATATTTCAGTTTGAAAAGATGTGTTTGCTTTTTATTATAGACTTTCCTCCTAAGGATTCATGCGATTCTTTGTTTATTAAGGGATAAGGAGAAAAGGACTCACATTGATCGTCACCGGATTGGTCCTCGGATTCGGCGTGTCCCGATCCGCAGATCTCTGCTGGAGGTGTCTACTCAGAGCGAACATCTCGGCGAGTCGGGATCGCGTTTTTCCTGCTGATGGTAAGATCGATGGTGACACCTGCTGCGGATTCCTCTTCCTTCCGGGAAACACCAGATGCTCTATATCCGGCGTGTAACTGGGATCCATACGCACAAAATCCTGCAAAAAGAATAACCGCAATCAAAAAACCAACATAATTTAATCATTAATCCTCATAAATAAGTTAATTTTTACATTTTGTAATTTCTCAAAATTTATTATTTTATTTAATTTTTTATAAAAATTGTTGATATTTTCTTCGGAATTGTATTATAATACGAAACTTTTTGATATATTCCTGCATTAAAATTCTGTGCTATAACAAGATGTGTTTTCTTTATTCTAATTAATCCATTTCGCTTCATCCTTGTCCGTCTCCATTGTGAGAGCTTTCAGTTAATTCCGAAGGATAGGGAAAACGGAAAAGAAGTTCTCAAGGTTGCGAAGGGCCAATTTCGTTATATTCTGTAGTTAGTCATTCAGGTTGGCGAGGTTCGTAACCGGATTACGCAACAATTTTGGAAATTAGGCGGAGAGCACTTTTCGTGGGAGGGCCGACGCCTCTCAATGTAGACCGAGTAATTGGGTTAGCGTTACGTAAACACTTAGCGGTCCGACGTGTTTATCGGCCGGTTTAACGACCAGTTAAATAGAAGCGCAATAATAATAATATATGAAGGAAATAGCAAACATTTGAACGTTCGCTTTTAATTTTGATACGCCATTAATGTTTCTCGCTTAAATAATTGGAAGCAACTGCAGGAAATGAGCGTCCCGAAATGATTGATCACGATAATCAAGAGAAAACTGCATGTTTATACTGGCCTTCAATTAATTCCCCATTAAGAATTACCCGGCGCATCCATCCAAACATCGAAGTTGCTGCTGCCACTAAAAACAATGGAGCAACGATCGCAGTTGTCATTATCCTTGGGTCAATGTTTATCGAATTAATTAATGAATTAATTAATTACGCCTCACGTTACAGCAAACGCACGTTTTCGTCGCTGCTAATTGAATTAACTTTATTACCTTTGCCGGAGATGATCTGTCCGGACTCACGCGAAACGTCATGCTAATTTCGGGTTAATAAACAAACAGAACAAGTTCAACCAACTGCGAAACTGAAAATCCCAAGCGATTCGCGTTTCCTGCGCTTCGTTTTTGTTTGCTTTCCGGTTTGTTTTGTCCGTTTGTTCTTTTGTTATACAACCTGACAAAAAAAAGACAAAATGAAAACGCGAATTTGCAATTACGATTTCACGTCAGTTTGCCGCTCAAATTTTAAAAGTTATACGTTTCCTAGTTACGTGTTTGTATTTTGACTGACAAGCTTTCGTATCAACTGAACTACGTTTTAGGTCTGATGTAATCGTTTGTATATGCACGTGAAATGTTTATGAAAATCAAATTGGAAAAACATAAATAATCAACAGAACTACTTTTGATGTACAATTATGACAATCTAATACAAATAATCAATAGAACTACTTTTTATGTCTAATTTAGTGGTACTGTCATTAAACAAATGAAATTAATACAAATCCGATTACATCAATTAAGTTGGTATCTTAAATATTACTAATAACTAACTTATATTAGTAAATTAATTAATTTTACTTTTATATCCTCGCAAAATACAAATCATTTGTTACTTATGTTTCCTGAATAATTTACTCTCTTTTTGTTTTTAGATGAAGTTGGCTTATGTTAATTTGCAAGCGCTCCGTCGTGTTTCAAATAATTTGAAAGAATTACGACATTCCACTAATTAAATTCCGCCTCGACCTGTCCGGAATTTTCGCCCCTCCATTCCACCCGAAACTTTCACCGGAACTGAGCGGAAATCGCAAAAATATTTAATTTATATAACGTTCGTTGGTTCTACATTCTTAAGAGAAAGCGACATCTATGATTCATAAAATGATTACGCCACGGGTTAATAATTGGTTTATTTTTTCAAATTTGGCAATTATTATAAACTGTCACTTTTTTCATTTCTTGATGAAAGAAAATGTATCCGAGATTCGATTAAAGTTAATAAAATCTGGCACGCAGAGATGGCGTATCTTAATGCAAAAAGTTCGGTTTTCTGGTGAAAGTTTTAATGAAGCGAGCCGGCTTGTTGGAGGGTGATTAGGCAGGATAATTAATTCCTCGCCGATACAAGCACGCAGGATTCGATCCTGCGACGAGGCAGGATGGAGGAACCCTAATTGATTGCATTGCAGATGATGAAATTTCTATTATCGAATGGACAACAGCTTACGGCGACCGCACGCATGCTGTAATTACCGTGTAATCCACATGGAACGTCCAATTTGAACGATTTGAAAATTCGATTTTTTTAACTTTCGACAATTCTCATAAGGATTACATTTCGATCCTGATGCGAATCATGCGAAGTTGGCCTCGAGTTTCACGTGGATGGACTCGTTATCCCTAATTTATGTCTCAGGCCTTGACAAGTCCAATAAATATCCGTGCGTCTTTAGTGTACAATTTCATTAAGTTAATTTCACCAGCAATTCAATACCACCGTTGTCTGCAGCTATTACATCATCACGTTAGTCTATTGTTGTGTGTATGTCATTTAAACGTCATGTTGGTTCTTTTAATTGAATGCAGATGTCGCATTATAATGTACTGCATTTTGAATAACTCCGAAATTGCTATTTACATGCTTAAACTATGGTCGACGTTTGTGTAATTAAAATGTATACCGTTGTGTAAATTGAATTGCAATTCAATTAATAATCAGCCTTTTGTGACGCACCGTCCATATCGATAATTAAATTATGTAACTCTACAAGTGGATTGTGAAACACGCCATCTCTGTGAGTAACTTTCAAACTATTAGTTTCTTATTGATATTAGAATAAAGCTGATGGACTCTTTCATCTTTGATTGAGGTTTCCTCTCAGAGTCTACCAATTATCTGAAGACTTGGGCAATTAGTGAAACCCGATTAGAGAAATGCCCGTTATTGTGTTCATGAAGCCTAATTATGTCTTTTTGAAGGAGGATTTACCTGCATGCTGAGTTTCGGTACTGGAGGACCGCTTTTCGAGTTCTGCTTGTTAATCGATTTCCGCTTCACGTTGAACGGCTTCGTCGATTCCGCCAACATCATGAGTCTATCCCTGATGTGCAACTCGTCAGCCCTGCTCATGTTCTGCATACAGCCTTCCACTACTGCTGCTGCTACTGGTGACACGGATCGGGATCATCCTCGGACATACTCTAAGCTTCCTGTAACCCAAAAAAAAAAACTTCAATTTTAGAAGCGATTTTCTCATTGTTCTCAAATCACCAGCAATAAAATAATACACTTTTATTATTCTGTAAACATTTAACTTTAATGCTGTTTTTACTACAATCGATTTGGTTTTATAGCTCTTGAGTAAATTGAGAAAAACTATAGCACTGTAACTATAAACAAAAATTGAATGTTATTTGGGTTGCATATAACAATATAGTTTATCAATACGCCATCTCTGATTTATATAAGTTGATAGTAATAAACTGTGGGTAAAACTACTTTAATTTAACAATTTCATCAACAGTCACACAAATGGTCAATGTTAATGCATAGAAATTCGAAAGTATATTTTGTTTTTTTCAATTTCATTTCTATTTAGTGACATTTTTGTAGAGGGTGTTGATATTGGAACACGAATACGAAACACGGTTGGATTCGCAATTTTTGTGTTGTTTTTAGTCGGATTGTGTTTCTGTTTTTTCGAACGCTTTTCTGTGGTTGTTTTTTGTCTTTTTCGATATTGGATTAACAAATATGAGAGTGGAAATACGCCTAGCTTTGCAATGCGGGCTTCGGGAATCAAACGTGAGGGGACTGCAATCGCAGGAATTACTTTTGTACAAACATACAAAAAAAAAGAGAATTTTACAAAAAAAATAAAATAAAAAGGATTATTGGATAACAGGAAAATATTGTCCGAATCGATCCGTTTCGTAACTGGATGCAAATATAATAGGATAATTGACGAGGATTAGTATGTTTGTAACCATGGAAACTGCGAAAAACATCCTTTTCAGTTTGAAACAAGTGCAGCCGCGACACGAAAACAAAGGGTGCCACGTGAACAACTTTACACGCGTTGCTGATTTCCACTGAAAACATGTGAATAACGTCCAGAAATGTATGGAACTCCGCATAATATAATTAATAAAGGGAAAACCTCTAAACTTTTTGTTTTGTATGTCCTTTTTTTTCCACGTCTGGAAATTATTAATTTGGACGTTATAAAAAGTTGAAATGGCATCACGAGTGGTTGAAATAATCAACGAAAAACCATTAATTAAAGTTAAAAAATAATTAGTTTTCTTTTTTAAATTGAAATATAAAACTTGACTGATAACATACAAAAACCGTGAACAAATGAAATAAAAATTGATTTTGAAGGAAGCGAAGAAAATGGACTGCGATAAAGATAAGAAATAAGTTGGCGTTGCTCAAGTTTTCATTTGTATCATAAATATATTATGGTTGAGATACTGAAAGAATCCATTGTTTGTTGTGGTTTCTAAGGCGATAAGATATTTGGGTTGCTTACAATAATTTATCTGGAAAAGTCATTGAATTTATCGAATTGTCATTTATAACTTGATGCAATAATTAAAATTCTTAAAGATTTCTATCAAAATTATATAATTATCATTAATTTGCGCCATCTATCAGTTGTTTCTTTTTTATTGTTCTGAGTTTCAAACTCATCAGATTCGTATAAGATATGCAAATATTTAAATTTTTAATTAACATCTCAAGTATTTCTAAAGTGACATTTATAAATTTCATTTTCAATGCGGAAGTTTTAAAGTTGCATACATAATTAATCAGTATTTGTTTGTCGTTTATTAAGCGAGATGGTATTTGGGTTGCATACGACCATCAATTTTCCTGAAAGCGACGTCTGCGTTTACGAATGCAAAGTAAACGCCTAGTTTCCAAGATGCAACTTTCGTCGTCGTTGATTGGAATGGAGGAGACCTCGGAGATCGCGTTTCCGCTTCCGTTCTCGGCAAAAGTCCTCCAATTTTCAGAAAACCCCTTTTGGGAGAAACCCTCTGTTGGCCATCTCCGTTATTACACAGACGCATCTCAATATTTCAGTGGGATCGTCTGCCGTTGCGTAACAGCCGTCTATATAATTCAAAGGATTGATGCCGTTTCACCTGTGATAAGGGCGTAATAAGCTCATCGCTTTAAAAGCGAGAAGATCGCATCAAAAATTAAACAATTTACGTTACGTCAAATGTCAAATCATTGACGTTTCAATATTTGATGTCAATATTGAAACGTCAATATTGAGTTTAGTTAGCCTACTTAAAGTAAATTAACGTTACAAAACGATTTATTAATTAAACAAAGCAATATAATTAGTCAAACTAATTAGTAAAATCGAGAATTTAAATATTTAAACCATCTAAAGCAATTTGTATCTGCATTGATCCTTATGTCAAATTAATGACATTTACCGTTGACATTAAATATTGACTTTAAAAAGTAAACTGAAAATGTGTATCCGAATTGTTCAAATGAATTAAAATTTTAATATTGACATTAAATAATGAATGTAATTAGATAACTATTTGCTAACAAATTGTTGTTACAAAGCAATTGGAATAAACGAACTGAAAATTCAAACAATATATTAAATCCAAATTTATACACAAAACACATTTATTTCATACAACAAATACTTCTGTACACGTTTCGTTCTTTGTTGCCGCAGATCAAAGGGTTTTATTCGTGTTACATTCAACATTTCAATATTATATACATATGTATTTTCATTACAAATCCATTCATTAATTTGTTATAGCGACAATTCGTAATTAAAAGAAAACCCATAGATTTTGGAGGCTTTATCACATTTGTTTTGTTTGTGAAACGTGTTGTATTATGCAATATGTCTAACATCAGTGTTCATAATTAATTTAAATTCTACACGAAGTTGGATAAGTAACGAAATGATATTTGGGTTGCATACAACTAAACTTTTTTTCGAAAGCGACATCTCTGATTAATAATCTTTTAATTGTAAATATCGATGAAGCTAATGAAAAGTTGTTTCTTGTTGCAATCAGGAAATGCTTGTAAATTGATTTGCAATGTACTGAGTAGGAAATAAAGGCAAAAATGAAATATTTGCAGTGGGGATAAACCAATAATTGTTGCCAATAACGATCAATTAGCATGTTTCCATGGATCGCGTTTGTTTCCAATTATATTAAATTAATTGTTTGTGAGCGGGTGTCGATTGAGGGGATTCGGATGCGTGCAAATACCGTGTGTTTATGGTAGGTATCTGCGTGTGTAGAGAGAGAGAGAGAGGATAACATCCGGAACGTTTTAATTTAGAGCCAAGAACGACGTAGTGTTCGAATCCGAGAAGACGAAGGCCCCAAAGGGGATTGATTGATGCTCCTGCGAAAGGGGAGACATCCTAAACCCTGTGGGAATGCATCCACGTGTCGCACATACATTATACACACACATTACACAACTATGTAGTGTACATAGTGTATATTTAATTTGTTTTGAGGTAAAATTTCAAAAAAGCTCGGAAAAGACAGGATCGGACTCAGATTGTCGATCTTTTGTAGTGTGTGTGTGTGGATGTTTGATGGCCAGGATAATGAAACTTCGATAACGCGAACGACGCTCCTACCCATAAACCAACCGGATGATCCTGCAGGAAAAAAACCGGTTTTTATCGCATACATAAAATCCAGGTATTTGGGTCATACCAAACGCAGGAAACATGCAAAAAAAAAACAGTACTGGACACCGGTGTCCCATCGTTAAATACTAATGCATTTTCCATTGTTAAAAAAACTTTTTCCTTTTGTAATATATGAAAATGTTTAATACTGTTTGATATTCAAATAAAAAAGAAACAATTTTAACATGAAACAAACAAAAGTCAAATGAATGTCAAATAAATGACATTTATTAATTGAATCAAATAAAAGTAAATATTGGTAAGTATATAAGTAATTATATTATACAAAAACTGTATTTTTTAAGTAAATTCTAACTATTTGGTTACGTAAAGTCATTATGTAATAAACAGCATCAGCGCCTCTGGTGATTTGTATTCACAAAAATCTGCGAAACGTCACAGCTTACGTCAAAGTCACGAAGATTTATTATTATTCTTTTTATGTACATTTAAGTCCGCATAACATGTTTTTGAAATTCTTCCCTTCCGCTTTCGAAAAGGTAATACAAAAAAAAACAATAAAATAAATATGGTTTAAGTCTTTGAAATGCGAACAAATTGCGTGTCAAGCTCAGATAAACATCAGTTGCATAAGCGCGTCGGTTAGAGAGGGTGAATCCAACCCCTCACGCACACACACGTGACGACAATCATATTTCTCTTTTGAGTCAAAAAATAAAAAAGAAGAGAATCACGTTTGCTCATCGTATACGACAACCCCATGTACGTCAATTTGTCAGCGAAGCCAAAAAAATATTTCAAAAACTGTATTTTAGTTTATATTTTTGTACAATAATCTGATGACCTGTCAAATTAGGAAAGTGATTTTATGCAACCCGTTATGCAATTCATCTATAATTATATAAGTTTTTACTAATAAAAAGCTATTGATCAATGATCGAATAAGACGAGAGAAGATTTTAGAAACATAACTACATATTGTTTCAGTTGTGATGAATTAGTATAATTGACAGATGTCAAATTTTAATTAATTATGACAGTTATGTAAAACAATGCATGTTGTTAATTAATTGTTGCGTTGTGGATTTACGTTTTCATTGCGAGTAATCATTTACAATAAAAAATAAAAGTTAGACTGTAAATTAGCGTGAGCGACGGACGGGATCGGGGGTCCTGGATTAACGTCAATCACACCTTAAGCCGGGTCACAGCGAATTTGATGGAACGCAAAAATAACAATCATCGATTTATCAGGAACACCGGTATTATTTGAGCAATAATTCGACAGAGAGGACAAAGTTTGGAACCACGTGGAACTTTACACAAATACAGCGTTGCCACGTTTCGTTTATGTAACGTGCGCAATGTGGAAATTAAACAGGAATTATAACAGGGAGGCGATGTTTTCGTTTCGGCTAAGCGCGCAAATCCCAGGAAAACACGTGTCGAACTAATGGATGTTGTTGGAAAGGTTGAGGGATGGAGAGAGAGGTTTACCTGAGTCCAATTAAAATCCGCGGTTTAACAGATTGCCGCCGGT